AGCGGTTTGTTTGCAATCGTGTCATTACGGTTTCGTGGGTCATTTAATTGGTTCGGTTGGTTGGGTGACTGGTCGGTTGTTTGGTTGCTTCTTTGTTTAATTTCTTAATTGTTTGCCTTTTTAGTTTTAGTTTGTTGATTGGTTGGTTGTTTGGCTGTTTGATATGTTTTTTGGTTGCAGACTTTGTTGCCTGGTTGATTGGGTGTTTATTTGCTTGACTGGTTGATTGGTTAATTGATTTTTATTTGGTTGGTTGATTGGTTGATTGGCCAACTGATTGTTTATTTATTTGAGTGGTTGATGATTTTATTGGTTTTTTGTTTGGTTGATTTTGTTTGCTTATGTTTACTTGTTTGGTTGGGTCTTTGTTGATTAGATGTTTGGTTAGTTAGGCTTTTATTGTTGGGTTGATTGGTTGCTTGGTTATTTGTTTGGTTGGTTCACTGTATAGTTGGTTGTTTATTTGTTTCGCTTCGTGTTTGGTTGGTCTTTTGCTAGTTGTTTGTACGTTTGTTTGGTTGGTTTGTTGGTTAGGCGTTTTTGGTAGATTTGTTGTTTGGTTAAACTATGAATTGGTTTGATGATTGTTTGTCTGTATGGTAGATATATTGATTCATTGGTTAATTGTTGGTTGATTTGGTTAATCGATTGGTTGTATGGTTGGCTGGTTATTTGGTTGATTGTTTGGCACATTGGTTGGTTGCTTTAGATGGTTAATTGTTTGATTGGTTGATTTGTTAGTAAATTATTTTTTCTTGTTTGGTTGATTAATGGGTTGTTTGGCTAGTTGTTTGATTGATGGGTTGTTTGGTTAGTTGTTTGATTGATGGGTTGTTTGGTTAGTTGGTTGATTGTATACTTTTTTGTTTTGTTTTGTTTGTTCTTTGACTGGTGAGTCGAGTGGTTGTTGGGTTGATTTTCTAACTGAAATGTTCGGTTGTTGATGGGTTACTTGATTTGTTTTGCTTGTTGGTTGGTTAACCACTTGGTTGCTAATTCGCTGGCTGTTTGGTTGCACGGTTGGGTAGTTAGTAAATTGATTGTTTTGGTGGTTTCTTGTTTGTTTCGTTGATTGTTTAGTGGGTTGATTGTTTTGTTAATTGATTATTTTGTTCGTTGATTGCTTTGTTGGTTGATTTCCTTGTTGGTTGGTGGATTTGTTGGTTGGTTGCTTTGTTGATTGATTGGTTGATTTGTCGGTTGATTTCTTTGTTGGTTGGTTTATTTGTTGGTTGGTTGATTTGTCGGTTGATTGATTGGTTGAGTGATTGGATGATTGGTGAGTTGATTAATTGTTTGGTTAGTTGGCTTATTTTGGGTTGTTGTTTGGTTATTTAGTTGTTTATTTGGTTGATTGGTTAATTACTTGGCTGGTTGCTTGTTGGTTAATTGGCTATTTGGTGTTGGTTAATTCCTTGGTTGTATGGATGGTTGATTGATTGTTTGGTTGGTTATTTATCTGGTTGTTTGTTTATGGTTAATTGTTTGTGTGTTTGTTTGGTTGTTCCTTTATTTGCTTGTTTGGTTACTTTTTAGTTGTTCACTTGGTTATTTGTTTGGTTCGCTTGTTGTTTGCTTGTCTGATTGATTGGTTATTTGGTTGGTTGGTTGTTTCACTGTTGGTTGATTGGTTGGTTAGTTGATTGCTTTTTTCCTTGGTTTGTTGACTGGTTGCTTGGTTGATTGCTAGAGTTGATAAGTTTGTAATGCCTTATCCGATCGGCTACAAACTTTCACTGACGTCTTCTGGTACCTTCTGGCATATTTTGTCTTCATCTTTCTCTACTTTGGTTAATTTCGATACCTTGGGAAATCCTCTTCTGATTAGCTTCAGCTCTGGCGTATCGTATCCTATTCTGATTAGTTTCAACTCAGGCGTATGCTATTCTGATTGACTTCAACTCAGGCGTACCCTATTCTGATTGGCTTCAACTCTGGCCTATGCTATTCTGATTGGCTTCAACTTTGGCGTATCCTATTCTGATTGGCTTTAATTCTGGCGTATCCTATTCTGATTGGCTTCAACTCTAGCGTATTCTATTCTGATTGGCTTCAACTCTGGCGTATGCTATTCTGATTGGCTTAAATTCTGGCGCATGCTATTCTGATTGGCTTCAACTCTGGCGTATGCTATTCTAATTGGCCTAAACTCTGGCGCATGCTATTCTGATTGGCTTCAACTCTGGCGCATGCTATTCTGACTGGCTTCAACTCTGGCGTATCCTATTCTGATTAGCTTCAACTCTGGCGTATGCTATTCTGATTGGCTTCAACTCTGGCGTATCTTATTCAGAAGAAAGTTTAGGCTGATTCAGGAAACTGTAAGGACCAGTTTGCCAATATTTTGTTAGGATGGCGTGGTACTTGTTTCTACTGGAGTACCTCGAGCACGCCTCGTCAGAATGGGTTCAGACTACGTTGGCTGGTGCCTCGTCTTGAGAGAATTATACTCTGTTGATGCAGATTTGCTAATTTACTTGGATTTGTTGGATTCTGTGCATTAGCTGGAGGTTGCTTCTCCGATCGACTTCAAACCTTCTAAGTGAAGAGGCTTTGAACCTTCTAAGTGAGAGGCTTCCAGTCTTCAAAGTGAGAGGCTTCGAACCTTGAAAGTGAGAGGCTTCCAATCTTCAAATTTAATTATATTGCTTATATATTTTGGAATTTTGATCTCCGTGTGGTAACTAGAGAATGCCTCTTCTGATTGGTTTGAAACTCTCAAAGCTTGTGCATCTTACATAGTGGAAGGTTGACACTGGTTATAGGATACCTTTGATATCCCTTTGACGAGTTTCGAGAGTCTCACTACTCTCGGAGCCCGGTCATGGGCCAGGCTCGTCTGGTGGCCTGACCTTTTTTACGTGTATTTAAAAAGTTTGTGATATTATTTCCCATGTGATTGTCTGACTGTCTGCAATTATTCCATTTTGAGAAAAGAGAGAGAGAGAGGAGGAGAGAAGAAGATAGGAGAGAGAGAGAGAGAGAGAGGAGAGAGAGAGAGAGAGAGAGAGAGAGAAAGAGAGAGAGAGAGAGAGAGAGAGAGAGAGAGAGAGAGAGAGAGAGAGAGAGAGAGACCTAGGCTCTAAGTCCAGTCCACCTATAATTACTGTAATTATCAGGTGTGTGTGTGTGTGTGTGTACTCACCTATTTGTACTCACCTATTTGTGGTTGCAGGGGTCGAGTCCTAGCTCCTGGCCCCGCCTCTTCACCGGTTGCTACTAGACCCTCTCTCTCCCCGCTCCATGAGCTTTATCAAACCTCGTCTTAAAACTGTGTATGGTTCCTGCCTCCACTACGTCATTTTCTAGGCTATTCCACTGCCTTACAACTCTATGACTGAAGAAATACTTCCTACTATCTCTCTGACTCATTTGTGTCTTCAACTTCCAATTGTGGCCTCTTGTTTCTGTGTCCCCTCCCTGGAACATCCTGTCCTTGTCCACCTTGTCTATTCCACGCAGTATTTATATGTCGTTATCATGTCTCCCCTGACCCTCCTGTCCTCCAGTGTCGTCAGGCCGATTTCCCTTAATCTTTCTTCATAGGACATTCCCCTTAGCTCTGGAACTAACCTTGTTGCAAACCTTTGTACTTTCTCTAGTTTCTTGACGTGCTTTATCAAGTGCGGGTTCCAAACAGGTGCTGCATACTCCAGTATGGGCCTGACATACACGGTGTACAGTGTCTTGAATGATTCCTTACTAAGGTGTCGGAATGCTGTTCTCAGGTTTGCCAGGCGCCCATATGCTGCAGCAGTTATCTGATTGATGTGTGCTTCCGGAGACATGCTCGGTGTTATACTCACCCCAAGATCTTTCTCCTTGAGTGAGGTTTGCAGTCTTTGGCCACCTAGCCTATACTCTGTCTGTGGTCTTCTGTGCCCTTTCCCTATCTTCATGACTTTGCATTTGGCAGGATTAAATTCGAGAAGCCATTTGCTGGACCAGGTGTCCAGTCTGTCCAGGTCTCTTTGAAGTCCTGCCTGGTCCTCATCAGATTTAATTCTCCTCATTAACTTCACATCATCTGCAAACAGGAACACTTCTGAGTCTAACCCTTCCGTCATGTCGTTCACATATACCAAAAATAGCACTGGTCCTAGGACCGACCCCTGTGGGACCCCGCTCGTCACAGGTGCCCACTGTGATACATCATTACGTACCATGACTCGTTGTTGCCTCCCTGTCAGGTATTCTCTGATCCATTGCAGTGCCCTTCCTGTTATATGCGCCTGATGCTCTAGCTTCTGCACTAATCTCTTGTGAGGAACTGTGTCAAAGGCCTTCTTGCAGTCCAAGAAATGCAATCAACCCACCCCTCTCTCTCTTGTCTTACTTCTGTTATTTTATCATAAAACTCCAGAAGGTTTGTGACACAGGATTGCCTTCCGTGAATCCGTGCTGGTTGGCATTTATACTCCTGTTCCGTTCCAGGTGCTCCACCACTCTCCTCCTGATAATCTTCTCCATAATTTTGCATACTATACACGTCAATGACACAGGTCTATAGTTTAGTGCCTCTTTTCTGTCTCCTTTTTTGAAAATGGGAACTACATTTGCCGTCTTCCATACCTCAGGTAGTTGCCCAGTTTCCAGGGATGTGTTGAAGATTGTGGTAAGTGGTATGCACAACATATCTGCTCCCTCTCTAAGGACCCATGGAGAGATGTTGTCCGGTCCCATTGCCTTTGAGGTATCGATGTCCCTTAGCAGTTTCTTCACCTCCTCCTCATCTGTATGTATGTCGTCCAACACTTGTTGGTGTATTCCTTGTGTGTGTGTGTGTGTGTGTGTGTGTGTGTGTGTGTGTGTGTGTGTGTGTGTGTGTGTGTGTCATCCTAAATTGATATACAACATGTGTGTGAATATTTCGGAACATTCAACTTGTAAGAGACGAAAGTCTCGAACCCTCTGTCAACAGTGTTACCAAGTGGTGTTACACTTATAGTGTTACCAAGTGGTGTTACACTGATGTGTTGTTACACTGAAGTGTTGCTCACCTTATAACCACGTGCTATCTCCATGGAGGGCCCCAGGACGTGTTGCACCACGTGCGGATCCACCACGCGCTGCACCTCGTGGTCAGCCCCTGTGACAGTGGGAAAACATAACACAGGGTTGAATGTCCTGAGGGAACGGTGGGGGAGGAGGGTGGTAACACGTGGTGGAGGGATGGGGAGGGGGGGTAGTGCCAAACTGGGGCTCACTAGAGCCACCGGGTCACATAAGCACAGGGTGACACGCTCACCGGGTCACTTATATTTGATGGTGGGGAGGAAGGTCAGTGGAACACGGGGTCAGACTTAGGGGTCAGGAGAACACGGGGTCAAACCTGATGTGAGTGAAGACACCGTGAGTGGCACTCATCATGTGAGTGAAGACACCGTCAGTGCCACTCATCATGTGAGTGAAGACACCGTCAGTGCCACTCATCATGTGAGTGAAGACACCGTCAGTGCCACTCATCATGTGAGTGAAGACACCGTCAGTGGCACTCATCATGTGAGTGAAGACACCGTCAGTGGCACTCATCATGTGAGTGAAGGCACCGTCAATGCCACTCATCATGTGAGTGAAGGCACCGTCAGTGCCACTCATCATGTGAGTGAAGGCACCGTCAGTGCCACTCATCATGTGAGTGAAGGCACCGTCAGTGCCATTCATCATATGAGTGAAGACACCGTTAGTGCCACTCATCATGTGAGCAAACACACCACCATAATCACACCGGTGCCAGGAGCTATGACTCGACCCCTGCAGCCACAAATAGTTGAGTACACCACAGATCAGGCCTCACAGCTGACCCACCACTAGCCACATCAACCTATCCTTGACCGCAGCAATATTTACGTATCACATTCTCTACAAATTACGCTAATCTAACTTCGGAAAATCCCGCATCTTCCGAGGCAAAAAATTTTACAAACCTTGGTTACAAATAACTTAAAAATATCCACACCTCAACTCACACACTGAGGCCCGTGGTTCGATCCCCAGTAGGGTGGTAACATCTGGGCGTGTTTCCTTAAGATACCTGCTGTCCTTGTTCACCTAGCAGTAAAATAGGTTCCCGGGTGTTAGTAGACTGGTGTGGGTCGCATCCTGGGGACAAAACTAACCTAATTTGCCCGAAATACTCGGCATAACCAGAGGCTTTCTATATAGTATGTCTCTGGTGTCAGCTACGGTATGTGTAAGTTGTATCATGTACGTGTAGAAATAAATATTATTATTATTATTATTATTATTATTATTATTATTATTATTATTATTATTATTATTATTATTAATATTATTATTATTATTATTATTATTATTATTATTATTATTATTATTATTATTATTATTATTATTATTATTATTATTACGTAAATGGTTTAGATGTTGCCTCGAACTCCTTCCCGTCTTCCACGGTTTTATTTTCTCTGCATTGGACCGATGTAGCCACTTGATGACGAAAGTTTTCTCAACAGAGCTTCCCAAGCGTTCTACAAGTGTTTTATTTATTTACTTGTATTTTGAAGCAGCCGGGGGTGAGGCTGGTGTTGACAGTTGACTGCGTCGTGGACTGATATCTAGCGTCTTTGTGATGGTGAGTTCACTCGGAGGATGAGTGGCACTGTCCAGTACTTTTTTCATGCTGGTGTGTTCACTCAGGGGATGAGTGACACTGACGGTGTGTTCACTCAGGGGATGAGTGACACTGACGGTCTGTTCACTCACAATGTACTCGCTCCTAGAGGCAAGAGTCTTACTCTTCTTCCATTCCTGCCACATTTATCTTCCTTCGTTTCTTTCTCTGCAAGGCTGACGACACGAGACTGGTATCTACACAAACTGCCAGTGCGCTACCATTTTCTGAAACCATCAGCAACAGCCTGATTGGTCACAGACCGAGAGGCGATCAGTGGACGGAGGAATGAGCCTCCACCACGCTGAGTTGAAATATCCACACGGTTTTAACGCTTCCTGAAGTACAAAACATATAAATCTGTTGCGTTTTCACGCAAAAAGAAAAAGTTGGATGAATATCTTCGGTAAATATACAGGTCCAATTATTTTTCGTAATTAACAGCGTTAGGTACATGGACAGATGTTAGTCAACACCTGTAGAGTTCCAGCAGGTACTGGAGTTTACATGCAATACCTGAAGACTTCCAGCAGGTACTGGAGTTTCTTACATGCAACACCTGAAGACTTCCAGCAGGTACTGGAATTTCTTCCATGCAACACCTGATGACTTCCAGCAGGTACTGGAGTTTCTTACATGCAACACCTGAAGATTTCCAGTAGATACTGGAGTTTCTTACATGCAACACCTGAAGACTTCCAGCAGGTACTGGAATTTCTTCCATGCAACACCTGATGACTTCCAGCAGGTACTGGAGTTTCTTACATGCAACACCTGAAGACTTCCAGCAGGTACTGGAGTTTCTTACATGCAGCACCTGAAGACTTCCAGCAGGTACTGGAGTTTCTTACATGCAACACTGGAATGTTTTCCTATATAGGATATTACCTACATTCCAGCAGGACTGTACGTAGTTTCCTAACACATTTTTACCCCCCTGGATGCGACCCATAACACTTGGTAACACATGGATTTCTAGTTTTACTGCCAGGTGGGCAGAGGTAGACACTTGCCCATGTTTCTCCGCGGCGGGGAATCGAACCCGGGACCTTGTGATTGTGAATCCCATGCTCCCAGCAGGACGGGTTGATTGAGAAGGGTCAGGAAGGAGAGGCAGTGAAATACCTGAGCGACAGTCAACAGGAAGCAAAACTTGGTTCGGAGGTGAGAGCGGAACCCCAACATTCCTTCCAGAGTGATTAATAACACTTGGATGAATGTGAAAACGTTATACAATACTGACATGTTGGTAAGCAAGACTCATGGGCAACAAGTTAAAAGTATTTTTATTCCTAAACCTTTCGCCTACAAAGTAGGCTTCTTCAGTCGAACACATATGAGTTTGCAGAAGCCTAGTGTGTAGGCGAAACATATCGGAATAAAAATTCCTAACTATTGCACATGTGTCTTACTTATCAACGCTTGGATGACCTGTAGGTGCTTAACTTACCTGGAGCCGAGGTGACTGTGGGCAGTGCCACAACCAGAGCCATCACCGCCACCGCCCTCAGCCTGGCCCTACCAGAAAGCATGGTGACGATGGACACTACACTGCTGAGACGCTCTTTCTTGGCACTGTGTTTTTCACAACCTAATCACTTCAACTTTTCTCTCATCCGTCTTTAGGGAACACTTAACTACGTCGTCAAGGGCCTAACGCTGACCCTTGTGTCTGAGAAGCTGTCAAGAAAGGGGGCGTGGCTGAAGGAGGCGGGTGTGGGCGTGGCGGTGTAGGCGTGGGGATGTGGGAGCCTCGAAAGGCTGACCAGCAGTGAGGGAAGTGTGAGGAGGCAGCAGCATTTATAGGGAGGAGTGGCGTCACTTGTAAGAAGGAGCAGCAGCAGCAGCTCACCGGATGAAGCTCGTCCCACATGCGACATTACTCAGGCCTTACATACAGCAGCCCTCTGCTGGGGGCATGACGTCACTCATTATAAACACCGACGGTGCCACACGTTGCCCTAAGGGACGCCTCAGCAAGTTTATTTCAGGGCACGTACACATAAGGACAGTTATCTTCCATACTTTAACATTCAAAATAACCATAATTAAAAAAAAGTGAGATTCCAAGAACATGTTATTTCTCGCATTATCAAGGAATGTGAGAAGTCACGAAAGTCCTTGGAATTTCACTATTTTCACTGTTGCTATTTTACATATTGTGATATGAACTGTTTATTGTGATCTTATTGCATAGTTCAACATATGAGTAAGTTATCGAGAATAATCCAAAAAAATGACAGACAAAGTGACTTATATCCATTAGGGTCCTTGTAAGAAACATTGGGGTCCTTGTAAAAAACACTGGGGTCCTTGTAAGAAACATTGGGGTCCTTGTAAGAAACATTGGGGTCCTTGTAAAAAACACTGGGGTCCTTGTAAGAAACATTGGGGTCCTTGTAAAAAACACTGGGGTCCTTGTAAGAAACATTGGGGTCCTTGTATGAAACATTGGGGTCCTTGTATGAAACATTGGGGTCCTTGTAAGAAACACTGGGGTCCTTGTATGAAACATTGGGGTCCTTGTAAGAAACACTGGGGTCCTTGTATGAAACATTGGGGTCCTTGTATAAAACATTGGGGTCCTTGTAAAAAACACTGGGGTCCTTGTAAGAAACATTGGGGTCCTTGTATGAAACATTGGGTTCCTTGTATGAAACATTGGGGTCCTTGTAAGAAACACTGGGGTCCTTGTAAGAAACATTGGGGTCCTTGTAAGAAACATTGGGGTCCTTGTAAGAAACATTGGGGTCCTTGTAAAAAACACTGGGGTCCTTGTAAGAAACACTGGGGTCCTTGTAAAAAACACTGGGGTCCTTGTAAGAAACATTGGGGTCCTTGTATGAAACATTGGGGTCCTTGTATGAAACATTGGGGTCCTTGTAAGAAACACTGGGGCCCTTGTAAGAAACACTGGGGTCCTTGTAAGAAACATTGGGGTCCTTGTAAGAAACATTGGGGTCCTTGTAAGAAACACTGGGGCCCTTGTAAGAAACACTGGGGTCCTTGTAAGAAACATTGGGATCCTTGTAAGAAACACTGGGGTCCTTGTAAGAAACACTGGGGCCCTTGTAAGAAACACTTTGGTCCTTGTAAGAAACATTGGGGTCCTTGTAAGAAACACTGGGGTCCTTGTAAGAAACACTGGGGCCCTTGTAAGAAACACTGGGGTCCTTGTAAGAAACATTGGGGTCCTTGTAAGAAACATTGGGGTCCTTGTAAGAAACACTGGGGCCCTTGTAAGAAACACTGGGGTCCTTGTAAGAAACATTGGGGTCCTTGTAAGAAACACTGGGGCCCTTGTAAGAAACACTGGGGTCCTTGTAAGAAACATTGGGGTCCTTGTATGAAACATTGGGGTCCTTGTAAGAAACATTGGGGTCCTTGTAAGAAACACTGGGGCCCTTGTAAGAAAACATTGGGGTCCTTGTAAGAAACACTGGGGTCCTTGTAAGAAACACTGGAGTCCTTGTAAGAAACATTGGGGTCCTTGTAAGAAACATTGGGGTCCTTGTAAGAAACATTGGGGTCCTTGTAAGAAACATTGGGGTCCTTGTAAGAAGCATTGGGGTTCTTGTAAGAAACACTGGGGTCCTTGTAAAAAACTTTGGGGTCCTTGTAAGAAACATTGGGGTCCTTATAAGAAACATTGGGGTCCTTGTAAGAAACACTGGGGTCCTTGTAAGAAACACTGGGGTCCTTGTAAGAAACACTGAGGTCCTTGTAAGAAACACTGGGGTCCTTGTATGAAACACTGGGGTCCTTGAAAGAAACATTGGGGTCCTTGTAAGAAACATTGGGGTCCTTGTAAGAAACATTGGGATCCTTGTAAGAAAAATTGGGGTCCTCGAAAGAAACATTGGGGTCCTTGTAAGAAACACTGGGGTCCTTGTAAGAAACACTGGGGTCCTTGTAAGAAACATTGGGGTCCTTGTAAGAAACATTGGGGTACTTGTAAGAAACACTGGGGTCCTTGTAAGAAACACTGGGGTCCTTGTAAGAAACATTGGGGTCCTTGTAAGAAACACTGGGGTCCTTGTAAGAAACATTGGGGTCCTTGTAAGAAACACTGGGGTCCTTGTAAGAAACACTGGGGTCCTTGTAAGACACACTGGGGTCCTTATAAGAAACACTGGGGTCCTTGTAAGAAACACTGGGGTCCTTTTAAGAAACACTGGGGTCCTTGTAAGAAACATTGGGGTCCTTGTAAGAAACATTGGGGTCCTTGTAAGAAGCATTGGGGTCCTTGTAAGAAACACTGGGGTCCTTGTAAGAAACATTGGGGTCCTTGTAAGAAACATTGGGGTCCTTGTAAGAAGCATTGGGGTTCTTGTAAGAAACAATGGGGTCCTTGTAAAAAACTTTGGGGTCCTTGTAAGAAACATTTGGGTCCTTATAAGAAACATTGGGGTCCTTGTAAGAAACACTGGGGTCCTTGTAAGAAACACTGGGGTCCTTGTAAGAAACACTGAGGTCCTTGTAAGAAACACTGGGGTCCTTGTAAGAAACACTGGGGTCCTTGAAAGAAACATTGGGGTCCTTGTAAGAAACATTGGGGTCCTTGTAAGAAACATTGGGATCCTTGTAAGAAAAATTGGGGTCCTCGAAAGAAACATTGGGGTTCTTGTAAGAAACACTGGGGTCCTTGTAAGAAACACTGGGGTCCTTGTAAGAAACATTGGGGTCCTTGTAAGAAACATTGGGGTACTTGTAAGAAACACTGGGGTCCTTGTAAAGAATCACTGGGTGTCCTTGTAAGAAACACTGGGGTCCTTGTAAGAAACATTGGGGTCCTTGTAAGAAATACTGGGGTCCTTGTAAGAAACATTGGGGTCCTTGTAAGAAACACTGGGGTCCTTGTAAGAAACACTGGGGTCCTTGTAAGACACACTGGGGTCCTTATAAGAAACACTGGGGTCCTTGTAAGAAACACTGGGGTCCTTTTAAGAAACACTGGGGTCCTTGTAAGAAACATTGGGGTCCTTGTAAGAAACATTGGGGTCCTTGTAAGAAGCATTCGGGTCCTTGTAAGAAACACTGGGGTCCTTGTAAGAAACATTGGGGTCCTTGTAAGAAACATTGGGGTCCTTGTAAGAAACACTGGGGTCCTTGTAAGAAGCATTCGGGTCCTTGTAAGAAACACTGGGGTCCTTGTAAGAAACACTGGGGTCCTTGTAAGAAACATTGGGGTCCTTGTAAGAAACATTGGGGTCCTTGTAAGAAACATTGGGGTCCTTGTAAGAAACACTGGGGTCCTTGTAAGAAGCATTCGGGTCCTTGTAAGAAACACTGGGCTCCTTGTAAGAAACATTGGGGTCCTTGTAAGAAACATTGGGGTCCTTGTAAGAAACACTGGGGTCCTTGTAAGAAACATTGGGGTCCTTGTAAGAAACATTGGGGTCCTTGTAAGAAACATTGGGGTCCTTGTAAGAAACATTGGGGTCCTTGTAAGAAACACTGGGGTCCTTGTAAGAAACATTGGGGTCCTTGTAAGAAACATTGGGGTCCTTGTAAGAAATATTGGGGTCCTTGTAAGAAACATTGGGGTCCTTGTAAGAAACACTGGGGTCCCTTGTAAGAAACATTGGGGTCCTTGTAAGAAACACTGGGGTCCTTGTAAGAAACATTGGGGTCCTTGTAAGAAACACTGGGGTCCTTGTAAGAAGCATTCGGGTCCTTGTAAGAAACACTGGGGTCCTTGTAAGAAACATTGGGGTCCTTGTAAGAAACATTGGGGTCCTTGTAAGAAACACTGGGTCCTTGTAAGAAACATGGGGTCCTTGTAAGAAACATTGGGGTCCTTGTAAGAAACATTGGGGTCCTTGTAAGAAACATTGGGGTCCTTGTAAGAAACACTGGGGTCCTTGTAAGAAACATTGGGGTCCTTGTAAGAAACATTGGGGTCCTTGTAAGAAACATTGGGGTCCTTGTAAGAAACATTGGGGTCCTTGTAAGAAACACTGGGGCCCTTGTAAGAAACACTGGGGTCCTTGTAAGAAACATTGGGGTCCTTGTAGAAAACACTGGGGTCCTTGTAAGAAAACACTGGGGTCCTTGTAAGAAACACTGGGGTCCTTGTAAGAAACACTGGGGTCCTTGTAAGAAACATTGGGGTCCTTGTAAGAAACACTGGGGTCCTTGTAAGAAACATTGGGGTCCTTGTAAGAAACACTGGGGTCCTTGTAAGAAACATTGGGGTCCTTGTAAGAAACACTGGGGCCCCTTGTAAGAAACACTGGGGTCCTTGTAAGAAACATTGGGGTCCTTGTAAGAAACATTGGGGTCCTTGTAAGAAACACTGGGGCCCTTGTAAGAAACACTGGGGTCCTTGTAAGAAACATTGGGGTCCTTGTAAGAAACATTGGGGTCCTTGTAAGAAACATTGGGGTCCTTGTAAGAAACACTGGGGTCCTTGTAAGAAACATTGGGGTCCTTGTAAGAAACATTGGGGTCCTTGTAAGAAACACTGGGGCCTTGAAGAAACACTGGGGTCCTTGTAGAAACACTGGGGTCCTTGTAAGAAATTGGGGGTCCTTGTAAGAAACATTGGGGTCCTTGTAAGAAACATTGGGGTCCTTGTAAGAAAACACTGGGGTCCTTGTAAGAACATTGGGGTCCTTGTAAGAAACACTGGGGTCCTTGTAAGAAATATTGGGGTCCTTGTAAGAAACACTGGGGTCCTTGTAAGAAACATTGGGGTCCTTGTAAGAAAACATGGGGTCCTTGTAAGAAATATTGGGTCCTTGTAAGAAACACTGGGGTCCTTGTAAGAAACATTGGGGTCCTTGTAAGAAACATTGGGGTCCTTGTAAGAAACATTGGGGTCCTTGTAAGAAACACTGGGGTCCTTGTAAGAAAATATTGGGGTCCTTGTAAGAAAACCTGGGGTCCTTGTAAGAAACATGGGGTCCTTGTAAGAAACATTGGGGTCCTTGTAAGAAACATTGGGGTCCTTGTAAGAAACACTGGGGTCCTTGTAAGAAACACTGGGGTCCTTGTAAGAAACATTGGGGTCTTGTAAGAAACATGGGGTCCTTGTAAGAAACATTGGGGTCCTTGTAAGAAACATGGGGTCCTTGTAAGAAACATTGGGGTCCTTGTAAGAAACATTGGGGTCCTTGTAAGAAACATTGGGGTCCTTGTAAGAAACATTGGGGTCCTTGTAAGAAACATTGGGGTCCTTGTAAGAAACACTGGGGTCCTTGTAAGAAACAAAACTGATTGTATTAAGTTAATAATGGAAAATAATGCATAGACACAAAATAACTTCTCTGGATTATGATTCCATTGTAACAGAATCGTCTTTCCTTCGTTTCGACTTTATTATCATTGTTTAACACTAAAGTATTGCTAAACTCTTCGCTCAACTGTGTTTGGTTTTCTCTCTCTTAAGTAATATTTCGTTATAATCTGCCGCAGCATTTTCCCAAAGTCTGTTTCGTTACTGTTCTCCGATGCGGCCTTTCTTCAGTGCCTAAGGATGGCAGTGTTGACGCGAGTCTTCATTCATCGTTTAACAATACAATAAACAAGAATCTGGACTTTTAAATCTTTACTTTTAAAGTTTTCATACACGCTGTCGGGCAACATTGTGAAAAAAATCAGCGTTTGTAAAAATAGCAATAGCAGTATCCTCAAAGCAGCAACTGTACGACAGCCACCGCAGAGCAGCCACGAGCAGCCAAACGCAGCTGCAGCAGCACGAGCAGCCACCGCAGCAGCAACAGCCGAGCAGCCACCGCTAGCAGCAGCAGCACGAGGGAGCCACCGCAGCAGCAACAGCACGAGCAGCCACCGCAGCACAGCAGCACGAGCAGGCCACCGCAAGCAGCAGCACTGGCGGCTCACCGCAGCAGCAGCAGCACGAGCAGCCACCGCAGAGCAGCAGCTACGAGCACCCCAGACAACAGCGCAGAGACTCTAGAGGTACACACATTATTGCAACTCTCGAGTAACATGAACCACTGACACTGCTTGTCCTCTCGTAAGAAACACTGGGCGTCTGAAGAAACATTGGGGTTCTCTTTAAGAAACATTTGGGGTCCTTTTAAGAAACATGGGGGGGGGGGGGGGGGGGGGGGGGGGGGGGGGGGGGGGGGGGGGGGGGGGGGGGGGGGGGGGGGGGGGGGGAAAAAAAAAAAAAAAAAAAAAAAAAAAAAAAAAAAAAAAAAAAAAAAAAAAAAAAAAAAAAAAAAAAAAAAAAAAAAACATGGGGCTTGTAAGAAACACTGGGGTCCTTTAAGAAACATTTGGGGTCCTTGTAAAGGGGAAACATTGGGGTCCTTGTAAGAAAACATTGGGGTCCTTGTAAGAACATGGGGCCTTGTTTAAAAAAACTGGGGTCCTTGTAAGAAACAATTGGGGTCCTTGTAAAAAACATTGGGGTCCTTGTAAGAAACACTGGGGCCTTGTAAAAAACATTGGGTCCTTTTAAGAAACACTGGGGTCCTTGTAAGAAACACTGGGGGCCTTGTAAGAAACATTGGGGCCCTTGTAAGAAACATTTGGGGGCCTTTGAAAACACTTGGGGTCCTTGTAAGAAAACATGGAGCCTTGTAAGAACATTGGGGGCCTTGTAAGAACACTGGGTCCTTGTAAGAAACATTGGGCCTCCTTGTAAGAAACATGGGGTCCTTTAAGAAACACTGGGGTCCTTGTAAGAAACATTGGGGCCTTGTAAGAAACATTGGGGTCCTTGTAAGAAACATTGGGGTTCTTGTAAAAAAACATTGGGGTCCTTGTAAGAAAAAAATTTGGGGGCCTTGTAAGAACTATTGGGGGCCTTGTAAGAAAAAATTGGGGTCCTTGTAAGAAATTGGGGGTCCTTTTAAGAAACATGGGGTCCTTGTAAGAAACACTGGGGTCCTTGTAAGGGAAACATGGGGTTTCCTTGTTTAAGAAACATTGGGGTCCTTGTAAGAAACATTGGGGTCTTGTAAGAAACATTGGGTCCTTGTAAGAAAAAATTGGGGTCCCTTTTAAGAAACACTGGGGTCCTTGTAAGAAAACTTTTGGGGGCCCTTTTAAGAAACATTGGGGTCCTTTAAAAAACCTTTGGGGGCCTTGTAAGAAACATTTGGGGTCTTGTAAGAAACATGGGGTCCTTGTAAGAAAAATTTGGGGGCCTTGTAAAAACTGGGTCCTTGAAGAAACATTGGGGGCCTTGTAAGAAACATTGGGGTCCTTGTAAGAAAACATTGGGATCCTTGTAAGAAAAATTGGGGTCCTGAGAAACATTGGGGTCCTTGTAAGAAACACTGGGGCCTTGTAAGAAACATGGGGTCCTTGTAAGAAACATTGGGTCCTTGTAAGAAACATTTGGGGTCCTTGTAAGAAACATGGGTCCTTGTAAAGAAACCCTGGGGTCCCTTTTAAAAACATTGGGGTCTTGTAAGAAACATTTGGGGGCTTGTAAAAAATTTTGGGGTCCTTGTAAGAAACATTGGGGTCCTTTAGAAACATTTGGGGGCCTTGTAAGAAACTGGGGTCCTTGTAAGAAACACTGGGGCCCCTTTTAAGAAACACTGGGTCTTGTAAGAACACTTGGGGTCCTTGTAGAAACATTGGGGTCCTTTGAAAGAACATTTGGGGCCTTGTAAGAAACATTGGGGGGCCTTGTAGAAAACATTGGTCCTTGTAAGGAAAAATTGGGGTCCTGAAAGAAAACATTGGGTCCTTGTAAGAAACACTGGGGGCCTTGTAAGAAACATTTGGGGGCCTTGTAAGAAACATTGGGGTCCTTGTAAAAAACATTGGGGTATAGAACACTGGGGTCTTGTAAGAAAAAACTGGGGTCCTTGTAAGAAACATTGGGGTCCTTGTAAAAAACATGGGGTCCTTGTAAGAAACATTGGGGTCCTTGTAAGAAACACTGGGGTCCTTGTAAGAAACACTGGGGTCCTTGTATGGGAAAAATTGGGGGCCTTATAAGAAACACTGGGGTCCTTGTAAGAAAATGGGGTCCTTTTAAGAAACACTGGGTCCCTTTTAAGAAACATTGGGGTCCTTGTAAGAACATTTGGGGGCCTTGTAAGAAAATTGGGGTCCTTGTAAAAAAACCCCTGGGGTCCTTGTAAGAAACATTGGGGTCCTTGTAGAAACATTGGGGTCCTTGTAAGAACATTGGGGTCCCTTTTAAGAAACAATGGGGTCCCTTTTAAAAAATTGGGGTCCTTGTAAGAAACATTTTGGGGCCTTAAGAAAAATTGGGGTCCTTGTAAGAAACCTTTGGGGTCCTTGTAAGAAACATGGGGTCCTTGTAAGAAACACTGGGTCCTTGTAAGAAACACTGGGGGCCTTGTAAGAAAACATGGGGTCCTTGAAAAAAACATTGGGGTCCTTGTAAGAAACATTGGGGTCCTTGTAAGAAACATTGGGGTCCTTGTAAGAAACATTGGGGTCCTTGTAAGAAACATTGGGGTCCTTGTAAGAAACATTGGGGTCCTTGTAAGAAACATTGGGGTCCTTGTAAGAAACATTGGGGTCCTTGTAAGAAACACTGGGGTCCTTGTAAGAAACATAAACTGATTGTATATAAGTTAATAAGGAAAATAATGCATAGACACAAATAACTTCTCTGGATATTGATTCCATTGTAACAGAATCGTCTTTCCTTCGTTTCGACTTTATTATCATTGTTTAACACTAAAGTATTGCTAAACTCTTCGCTCAACTGTGTTTGTTTTCTCTCTCTTAAGTAATATTTCGTTATAATCTGCCGCAGCATTTTCCCAAAGTCTGTTTCGTTACTGTTCTCCCGATGCTGCCTTTCTTCAGTGCCTAAGGATGGCAGTGTTGACGCGAGTCTTCATTCACTCGTTGACAAACAATACAAATAAACAAAGAATCCTGAGACTTTATAAATCTTTATCTTTTAAAGTTCTCATACACGCTGTCGGCAACATTGAGGAAATAAATCAGCGTATGTAAACAATAGCAATAGCAGTATCCTCAACAGCAGCAACAGTACGAGCAGCCACCGCAGCAGCAGCAGCACGAGCAGCCACCGCAGCAGCAGCAGCACGAGCAGCCACCGCAGCAGCAACAGCACGAGCAGCCACCGCAGCAGCAGCAGCACGAGCAGCCACCGCAGCAGCAACAGCACGAGCAGCCACCGCAGCAGCAGCAGCACGAGCAGCCACCGCAGCAGCAGCAGCACGAGCAGCCACCGCAGCAGCAGCAGCACGAGCAGCCACCGCAGCAGCAGCAGCACGAGCAGCCACCGCAGCAGCAACAGCAGCAGACGACTCTAGCAGGTCACACACATTATTGCAACTCTCGAGTAACATGAACCACTGACACTGCTTTCCTCATCTTCTCGCCTGACAAACTTACCTCAGCACTCTGACATTTTGTTCATCTCTTTGTCAGTGGAAAATCTCCTCACACGAGTCATCTGACATGAGCCTCTCACCCCCATCTCGTTCGCTCTAACAAAAATTAAAAATAGCTATAATTACATAACCATAATTTTTAAAGGGGTGGACCGATAAGCCAGCGGAAGGCTTCGGTCAAATGACCAAATGCTTCGGCTAAGGGTTATCATATGACTAAGACCAGCCTCAGGAAATATTTGTCCCGTTTCCTGACACACCTTACCCACCCTAACCTCGATCGCTGTGCGATACGATAAAGATATCCCCATATTCCATAGCCCCAGTCCCCTGCACGTCAGTGCACGCGGCTGGAATAGTACAGAGTGCGGCATAAGCTGATACTGCAGCTAAATATTAGTGTTGAAGATATGAAGGGAATCGCAAGAAGTATTCACAAGTCATCATATGGAAACTAATATCCAATTTGCTTCAATAAAAACTGTAAACTAGAGTGTCACAGCACAAATCTAATTCAAATCTTTCACATAGACCAAAAAAGACCATTATCCTAAAATACACAAACACATTATGCTCGAAGCCGCGCTAAAATAGTCAAGTCTTCACCTACACATTTAAATTTCACTCTCCGCCCTCGTCGAATTTTTTTTTGGCAGCTTTTGTTAACGTCTGAAGCTACTGCACTGAGGATTTTATAATTTATCTTAGACATGCCAGGATGCTGGGAATAACTTCAACAACTTTTGTCACGAGGCAACGTGAAAAAGCCAGTTGTTCCAAGAAAATTTGAAGCCGATTAGATGAAGCGTTCTCGAGTTGTGAGCGAAATCAACAAGTTGCAGGAAGAAAGTAATTCCGGCAACGTCTTCATTACTGACTTGATGCCAGTGAGTGAACATGATTCACAGACAGACTCTGAAAACCAAGCACAGGGGTGAAGCACTGGGGTGAAGCACTGGGATGAAGCACAAGGGTGAAGCACAGGGGTGAAGCACTAGGGTGAAGCACTGGGATGAAGCACAAGGGTGAAGCACAGGGGTGAAGCACTGGGGTGAAGCACTGGGGTGAAGCACAAGGGTGAAGCACAGGGGTGAAACACTGGGGTGAAGCACTGGGGTGAAGCACAGGGGTGAAGCACTGGGGTGAAGCACTGGGGTGAAGCACAAGGGTGAAGCACAGGGGTGAAGCACAATGGTGAAGCACTGGGGTGAAGTACAAGGGTGAAACACAGGGGTGAAACACAGGGGTGAAGCACTGGGGTGAAGCACTGGGGTGAAGCACAAGGGTGAAGCTCAGGGGTGAAGCACTGGGGTGAAACACTGGTGTGAAGCACAAGGGTGAAGCACAGGGGTGAAGCACTGGGATGAAGCACAAGGGTGAAGCACAAGGATGAAGCACTGGGGTGAAGCACAAGGGTGAAGCACTGGGGTGAAGCACAAGGGTGAAGTACAGGGGTGAAGCACATGGGTGAAGCACTGGGATGAAGCACAGGGGTGAAGCACAGGGGTGAAGCACAGGGGTGAAGCACTGGGGTGAAGCACTGGGGTGAAGTACA